AGATTTGCAGTGTGGGCATCGGTTCTGCTGGGTGTGAGGATGAGAATGGAGCTTTCTGGTGCAGAAGGCTTTGTGGTGTGGCAGCGGGATGATCAGGGGAAGGAGCACATTGTCTATGACAGCAACAGGTCATCAGATCAATTTTGGAATGATATCTTTCATGTGCTTTGGCACATATATTGTATACTTTTTTGTTGTTTTGTGAAGGCATAGTACAAAGAAACAGCACTTATTGCTGTTAGCAAGTCCAATGTTAGGATGCAGAGAGCTTTTGGCAGACCTTTGAATACAATAAGCAAATTGTTATTTGTATTTTTGTCAAATGTAAACACTTGTGATCAGACAAGTGTTTGTCCAGTGCTTCCCAGCAGCCCACTGTCAGGCTTGTGGTAAATGATCCTTTGATGAAGAAGCTATTCACTGCCTGGATGCTCAAGGAGGGTCACAACTACTGCAAGGCAGCAGCTGGTCACCTCATAGATAATGAGAAAAGATTTTTTTGCTCAAGGTCCAAGCTTTAAGCTCTTGGCAGACTGCATTCAAGAGATGAATGAAAAAAGTGTGCAATGCATGCTGTGGTCAGCCTTTGTTTTGTTTTCAGCCTTCTTTGGCTTTTTGTTCTAGTTTTTGTATAAGAGATAGTTCTGAAATCACTATTTGCTTCATTGGTGATTTGGCATCAATATGCTTTAGATTAGCTCACTGCAGCCTTTTTGGGCTACAAGTTTTTCTTTTTGACAAGTGTTCAAAAAAGTTCACAGATAGACATCCATGCTATCTTGCACACACAGTTTTCTTCTTCACTTTTCATTCTGCAATAAAGTCATTCCAGCCATGACCCAATGGAGTGTCGAAGACATAATCCAAGAGGTGAAGCACCTGGAGGTCATTCTTGAGATGAGAAAGGAAAGCAAAGTGAAGGATGCTATGGTCAAGTGTTTGGTAGCAAAGCTCCAGACCATTGATTCAGTGCCACCTTCAACATATGTCAAAGTTATGGAATGCTTCAGTTCCTGTTCATTGCCAGAAGAAATCAAAGAGCAGCTGGCAGATGCCTTGGAGGAGAAGAGTGCAGACACAATGGAAGGACATCTTCGACTACAAACATGTCCCCAGTCCATGATCAATGTGTTCAACTACCTGTCAAAGACAGAATGGGAGAAGATTCAAGAGCTTACCTTTGCTGAAGCCTGTTCTGTGCTGGTAGCTCGGTTGAGGAAAGCTGGCCTCAAGAGCATGAAAGAAAAGACAAAGAAGCATGCCACCTCCTTCCTGGTCTACCTCCAGGAGAAACAGGCGCATCACTTGCCCACTGCTGGTGAATTCTACAAGCTTGCAGAGACTGTCAGGGACACCTTTAAGGCTTCTCTGCAGGCACCTGCAGTTGGGAGCTACAACAAGTACCCCTTGACACCCCAAGAGCTTGGAGAGGACTGGTGACTCTTTTCTAAATTTTGATTGTTTCATTTTAAACAAGTTGGTGGTATAGGGATAGGCTTGAATTGAATAGTGGCCATGCCATTGCCAGCTCCATATGCTTCCAGGAGTTCATGCGCAAGGTCTATGGAGATGACCTTCCTGCAAGGATCCCACCAGAAGTTGCAGGTGCAGTGCTCTCTGTTGCTAGCAACAAAGGGGTCAGGAATTCTCACAAGACATTGGTCCCAACTAGCAGTGCAGCTAAGATGTCCAAGGGTTCCTCAGAGGTCGACCAAGGGCTTTGCAAGGGATTGCTGACCATTGTGGAAGGCCTTGGGGGCATGCTTTTGAAGGCCAAAGAGATGGATGCCTGCAACATTCAGATGCTGCAGGGCCAGAAGTTGTCAAATGCTGCCAGTTCAGACAGCCTGTGCCAAACTGACTCCCAAGAGATCAGCCCAAGCACAAAGGCATTGCCAGCCCCTGTTGCAAAGCCAGCATTGGCCCTGACCAATGGTGATGAGCCTGGTACTACACCAACTACACCAGAGGTTGTGGGTGAGAATGGCAAGAAAGTCAATGACAGGCAACAACAGAAAGACCTGGAAGACTATGAGCAAGAGGCTTTTGCCTTGTTGGAAGCTAGGCAGAGGACAAGGATGAAAAGACCTTGTGCATCTTCAGAGATGCTCTCTGAGCAGTCTGCTCCCAAGGCTAAAAGCCAGAAAGTCAATGAGGAGAAAGCACCAAAGCAAGAGTCATCCAAGAAGAACAAGAATGTGAAGAAAAGGCAAGGATTTGGTTGCCTACGATGCAGGGGCAACATGAATGGCTGCAGCTCTTGCAGCAAAAGCACCTTTGTTGGGAAGAAGTTCTACAGTAGAGAGGAGTGGGTGCACTACCACCAAAAGCAGAATGCAAAGAGGAAGTGAGGGGTCACTCTCTATATAGGGAGTGGTGGTGCCTATTTGTTCCTGAAGCATCTTGGGAACTCCTGAGATGTTTCCTTGGGATGGGGTGACTTGTGTGAAAAAGCTTTGCTCAAGCTTGTCGAGCTGGTTGGTTGTGTTTTTGGCAATAATGAATTTGTTCAAGAAGTTGCAATATGTTTTCTGTTTCAGCTATTTTGGCTGTGTGTATTTGACAGAGATTTTTTTCAGCCATGTTGGCTTGGAAGTATACAGTTTTGTGTCAGCCAAGTTGATATGTTTTTTCTCAGCCACCTTTTTGGCTTTTTTGTGTGGCTTTGGTTTGTTTGGAAAATCAGAGCCATTTGTATATGTTGCCACTAGCTGCTCACTATTATGTCAACCAGCCACAAAGAATATGTTCAGTTTGTTGGCCAACCCCACACAGCTTTCATCTACAGAAGCTGACCATCAGTTCCCAACAAACAGCTTTCAAGGAAAACATGCCAAGCAGAGATGACTCACCACTTCATGCCATGATGGCTTCCTCTTCCTCTTTGTCTGTGCAAAGCCTAAGGGCCAGGGTTCCATTTGTGAGCCAGTCTGCCTTGACAAGCATCCTTGACATTGTTGCCAAGGAAGGTGTGCCAGAGCAGCGCAAGAGGAAGCACATCTATGATTCAACCAGGCAAATGCTTGAGAGAATGTGCCTGTATGGACCATTAGTCATCACAGCTGTTGCTTACACTTTGTCAGATCAGGCAGTGGAGATCACCTTTGTAAATTTCTTGTCATTGTTGGCAGGAACATATGCAATGGCTGATTCTTGGGCTGATTACTTTGACAAGGTGCATGGTGAGTTTCCCAGCAGCTATGCCAATCCCTGGGGCCTTGTCTGCTACGCAGATGAAGGACACCCAGGTAATCAATTGGCAGGGACTGCTAGAAAGGTCTGGTGTGTGTACATGTCTTTTGTGCAGTTTGGGAGGCACCTTAGCAAATCTGAATTGTGGTGGACAGTCATGGTGAAGAGGAGTGAGGATGTTTCAAAGCTTCAAGCATCCATTGGACAATTATTTCGCATCATTCTAGAGAACATTTTTGGAGGGAATGCATTGGGGCATCCAAGCAATGGACTGTTGCTGAAAAGAGGGGACAAGACTTGCAGGTTATTTTTTAAATTTCAGATGTGGCTTCAGGATGGCCAGGCTCAGAAACTGACATTCTCCAACAAGCAAGACAGTGGAAGCAGAATTTGCCAGAGTTGCAAGAACTTGTTCATTACAAGAAGTGCAGATGATGCAGAGGAAAATGGAGACAAGGAGTTGTCCAAATACATCAAAAAGGCACACTTGGAAATGAACTCTGACAAAGAACTTGTGTCCTGCTGGAGGAGAATGAGGGATAGACAGAGTACTTGCAACAAGGGGCAGTTCAAGTCCTGGCAGCAGGCAGCAGGTATAGATTTTTCAATCTATGCTTTGTTGCTGTCTGATTCTTTGGATTCACAGAAAATGCTTCGACCAGTTTCTGGTTATGTGCATGACTTCATGCATGGCATGCTTTCAAATGGAGTCATGGGATGGGTGGCATACTTGGTCATTTCAACTGTGTGTGAGAATGGCCTCCCACAAATTTGGGAAAGACTTGCTGATTTCCTCAAGTTGTGGGTCCAGCCAGGCTTCAGGAGCAACCAGAATGTGCACAGGTTGTTTGACAGCAAGCATGTGGCAAACCACAAGAAATCCAAGAAGATCAAGGCTTCAGCAGGGGAGATCCTGGAGTTGTGTCGACCATTGGCCTACTACTTGCAAACATGCGCACTGAAATTTGGCATTTGCACATTGGAAATTACTTGCTTCCTCAGTTGGCTTGCAGTGCTTGAATTTTGCATTGCTATTCCAGCTCTGCAGCATCCACAGCCAAGTGTTCTGCAGAACCTTGTTGAAAAGGCACTTTCAGACATGGTAAGTGCTGGATGGGGGTCTGAATTCAGACCAAAAATGCACTGGGCACTTCACTACTCAGATGCTCTGGCCATCCACAAGATGCTGCCTAGTTGCTTCTCTTTGGAGAGGAAACACAAGTCAATCAGGAAACATGCCAATAACCTTTGTAATACTGTTGCCTATGAGAAATCACTCATAGCAGCAGTGTTGTCAGAACACATTCAGCTTCTCCAATCGGACACAACACTTTTGAGGACTGACAACTTTCTTGTCAACAGGAAGAGGCCCACTACACAGGCACTGGCTATGTTGGAGGCTCATGGCCTGTGTTTGCCAAGTGAGATCTGTTGGGTGAGCAGGGAAATGAAGCTTTCCAATGGTGCAGTGGTGACTCAAAAGGATGTTGTCTTGTACCAGGCAGACACCTCTCTGCAAGTGGGACATGTGAAGCTCTTGATCCAGATTGGTGATGACTTGGGTGCTTTGATTGCAAAGATGACTGTGAGAGAGAAGCTTCCTGAGCTGATGGTGAGCAAGTGTGTGGAGAGCCAACACATTTGCTTTGTGGAGGCCAAGCAGATTGAAGCTCCTGTGGTCTACAACAGAAGTGGTTCTGGCATCTTCACATGTTTCACACCTCCACACATTTGGGCCAAAGAGCTGTGAAAAGATTTGCACATTGGGGGATGCATTTTACAGCGATTGCAGTGTTTTTTGGTGCTTTTTGTGGGAACATATTTTTTCAGCCCATTTGGCTTTGTTTGTGTATTGTGCTTGAACACACACATACCATTATGCAGCCCTACTGTTGGCTTTTGTATTCTTTGATTTTGTCATTGCTTTAGCTGTTTTTTACTACAAATTTTATTTTAAAAAAAGCAAAAACATTGATTAAAAATAAACAACATAACTATTTATAACTAGTTAGTAAAAGTTAGCTAATTAACATAATTATGTTAACTAGTTAGTAAAAGCCAGCCCATCTAAGTGAAGAGCGACGTCCAGGTGTGCGTTCACTGCGCCACCAAAGCAGAGGACTGGCGCATTTCAGTGCTTGGCGTTGGCCCTGTCAAGCGACTGAGCCATTTTGACATTTTATGGAAGGAGGCGGTCGAGTGCAAGTCGCTTGAAAGGACAATGGATGAGGAGAAAAAGCTAAAGCTGGCCATGTCCGCCTTGAAAGCTTTGAACAAAAAGCCACTTCCGAAAAAAAGGGCAGCGCGCTCCAGCCTGGCCAGCAGTTTCGCTAAGATGGCCAGACGAGACATGTCCCCTAGCCCAAGTCACGGTGGGTCTTCTCAGTCTGACTCAGATACTGACAATGAGCTTGAGGCTGCGCCAGAGGCGAAACCTTCTGAGCCAGGGCTCGGGCCACCGGCCAGGTCGACTGAAGTAGAGAGAGAGACTGGCTCAGCCATGCCTTCTGAGCCAGCACTTGGGCCACTGGCCGCGCCAAGGCCCAAAGTCAGGCATAATGTTCGACGTGCTAGTGTTTGGGGCACTAACCCATCCTTTCAAATCGCACCAATCCACGCAGCTGGGAGCAAAGAGCCCACAGGATGGGGTGCTATTTGTGGGCGCCACACAGACACCAACCGCCCTGGCCTACAGTGCAAAAAGGCTATGTCAAAGTCTGGCCTGTCAGACGCTGAGTGTCAACTCAGACTGAAAAGGTGGTTGGTAAGTGGTCTTGATGCGACGTCTTGGGGGAGCAACAAGCGCGATTGCCACGTTAGCATGGGTGGGATCCAGCTGGCCCAATTTGCAGATGGCCTGGATTCAGAAGCCTTGGACGCCCTTGTGGGCCATGTAGCTTGATTGGGCGAGTGGTTTCAAAAAGCGAGGGCCACCTGTCAGTGTCAGCGGTTGGCTTCCAAAAGTCACAAGCCAAACGTCACAAAGATTTGTTAGAATGCTTAGAACATTTCGAACAATTTCATATCAATTTTAGAAACAATGTAACAATTTTAGATCCGTACACAACTCATGGTTTTCCGTACACAACTCATTGTTTTCCGTACACAACTCATGGTTTTCCGTACACATCACATTCTTACATTGTTTTCGCAATTGTTGGCGATATTGTTTGAATGTTTTAGACATATTTTCTGCAATTTGTGCAATCGCTCTCACTCAAGTGGCCACCAGCCTTTTGACAAGCCTTGGCCCTTGGCCAGCCATGGCGAGCACTTCAGAGAG